CCCTGTTAATCCTCCTGTTGAGGGTCTTCCTCTCTTTCGCTGACCCTCTACTTTTTCCAGCATGATGTCTTTTTCCAAGGGCTGGCATTGCCTGACATGCCCAAAGTATGTAAAAAGAAGTTTCATCTTCCTTACCTCTAAAGAGCACCCTGGTTGCATTTTCTCCAAAATACTGGTTTATTTACAAAGTTTGAATACATTGTTTTTCACACCGGATCTTTCCCACTTTGCCATTTCCTTCACTCCCCCCATCAAATTGTATGAGCCTCTGATTACCATCACCCACCCTTCTCACCCCGCTGCTTCCACCCTCCCCTGTCCTTTGGATATTCACTACTGATCTCTAACATCACAATTCAAAGGTGAAGAGTCTTCTGTCATCCTTATGCAGTAGCATCCAGTAGCACCACTATTAGTCCAAATCCATTTACAAGGTATCTTTAAATTTTTTAAATGTTTTATCATTTTTAATGCATGAGTCTTTCATATTCCTGCTTAAATTTATTACTGGGATTTCACTCTTTTAGATGCTATTGTTAATGGAATTGTTTCTTAATTTACTTTTCAGATTCTTCGTTACTAGTTAATAGAACCTATTTTTGTGTACTAATCATGTAACCTGCAATTTTGCTGAATTCATTTTATTAGGTGTAGATGTTGTTGGGTTTTTTGGTGGATTTATAGTGATTTTCTATGTACAGGATCATGTTTTCACATGATTAAATATACTTCTTCCTTTCAAATTTAGATACCTTTTTATTTATTTTGTCTTTTGTAATTGCACTGGCTAGATATTCTAGTATAATATTAACATCAGCAGTAAAAGTAGGTATCATTATCTCACTCCTGATATTAGAGGAAAGACATTTTTTCTCTCACCATTGTGTATCATTTTAGCTGTGGAGTTTTCATAAATGTTCTTTGTCATGTTGAGTAAATGCCATTCTACTCCAAGTTTGCTGAGTATTTTCATTATGAAAAGGTGTTAAATTTTGTCAGATGCCTTTTGTATGTCAACTGATATGATCAGATTTTCCTCCTTGCTTGATTCATGTAACATACTACATTCATCTTTTTATGTTGAACCACTCTTCCATCCCTGAGATAAACCAAACTTATTTGTGACTTATAACCCTTTTCATATGCTATTGGACTAGTTTTGTAAGTATTTTTTAAGATTTTTACATGTATAGTTTTTTTGGGGGGTTTGAGTATATTTATTTTCTAGTTTTTTCCTATAGTTATATTTTATATATTTGTTAATTTTAATTAAAGTTTACAGAGACTTTGGATTTCCATTCCTTCATTGTTGACATGTATAGTTTTAAGAGATATTGATGTGTTGTTGTTGTTATTTACTGCCATCAGGTCAGCTCTGACTCCTCAGACCCTATATGCATAGCAAAAGTAAACAGTGCCCAGTCCTGCACCATTCTCACACTTGCTATATTAGAACTCACTGTGGTAACTATTGTCAGTCCATCCTGTTAAGGGTCTCTTTCATTGACCTTCTCCTTTACCAAACAGAATATTCTTTTCCAGGATTGGTCGCTCCTGTTAGCATTAGCATTACGGCAGTACTTCCTCCAAAATAATATTTTGTTTTCATTCTTCTGATAGTTCATGTACATTCAATATTTCTTGTCAACCTATAATTCAAATGCTCCAGTTCTCCCTCAGTCTTCTTTTTCATTGCCTGGCAGTGATTGAAAATGCCATGGCTTAGGTTGGGTACACTTTAGTCATCAAAATAAAATCATTGATTTTTTTTGCCATTTTTTTTTATTAATTTCAGTGAACATTTATAGAGATTTTGGATTTCCATTCATTCATTGTTTCACTTTTCTGCCTGCCCACCCCACCTCCACCCCCAGTTCACTCTTCTCCTTGAAAAGCAAAAGAAAAACTCCTTCATTGATTTTTAAAGATTTTTAAAAAGAGATCTTTTGTACCAGATTTGCTCATTGCAACGTGTTTGATTTCTTTACTCCAACTTCCACTGGCACTGATTGTTGATCTGAATAAAATGCAATGCTTCAGACCGTCAATGTGTTATCCATTTATCAAGATATTGTGTACTGGTCCCATTGCGAGGATTTTTGTTTTCTTTATGTTGAGATGTGATCTTACTGTAAGTTAGGTAGTCTTTTATCTTGATCATTAAGTGTTTTAAGTCATCTTCACTTCACCAAGCAAGGTTGTAGCAGCAGCAGCAGTAAACCACAGGTTGGTAGAGTGTCCTCCAAACCTGGTGTCTCCTTCTTCACAGGCCAGCTGCTCCAATTATTTGTTCAGTTTATAGATTGAATAGATAAGGTGAAAGGCTACGACCCTACCACGTACATACAGTATTCCGTGGTTCTTTCTGAATGACTGTGTTTATCTATGTGCAGGCATCTTTAGCTGACTTTTGTCTAAGGGTAGTACTGGCCTCACGGAATGTATTAGGTCGTGTTCCTTCCGCTTCTGTTCAAGTGTTTGAGAAGAATTGGTGGTAATTCATCTTTAAATGTTTGGTGGTGAAGCTCTCTGGTCAGGAACTTTTTTAAGGGGGAGATTTTTAATATCAATTTGATCTACTCACTAGTATGCTTGTTGAGATTTTCCATCTCTTCCTGAATCAATTAGTTCACATGCTTGTAAAATTTGGTCCATTTCCTCCAGGTCATCCCACTTATTAGTGAAGAATTAATCATAGAATTGCTTTAGAATCCTTCTTATTTCTGTAAAATCCATAGTAATGTCCCTACCTTCATTTATAATTTTAGTTTTCTTTCCCCTTCTTAGTCTAGCAAAAGGTTTATAAATTTTCAAAGGGCCAGCTTTTAGCTTTGTTGAGTCTCTCTATTGTTTCCCTACTCTATATTTTATTGATTTTTTTTTTCTTTTATTCTTTCTTTCTTTCGTCTGGTAGCTTTAAGTTTAGTTTCATCTTTTTTACCCCAGCTCCTCAAGGTATAAATCTAAGCTATCAAGTTGAAATATTTCTTTATGTCTTTTTCTAAGCTATAAATGTTCTAGTTTGTAGCTGGCTATTTTATATTTATAAATGGTTTCTAGCTATAAATTTTCCATTGATCATTCCAAAGTCTTGACACTACTGATTCTTACTGATTCTCCTTGTCTTTGTTTTATTTGTGTTGCTTTCTTTTTCACGGGACCGGGGAGTATGGAGTTGCTGACACTGCCATCTTGCTGTGGCATTCCCTGATGAACCTATTGCAAATAGAATTAACCCTATCCAAAGCTGGACGAATCTCTTCTTTTGTCTCAACGAGAGCTCTTTCTGATCATTTTCCCAGCTGGATGTTCATCTGTCACTCATTCTCCCATTAATATGTTAGTAAATCTCCAAGATTACCCTTGGGAAAGGTTTTCTTAGGGAGAGAGGTGCCTTTAATAATGAGACGTCAGCATCCTTGCTGAGGTGGTTTTTCTATCACGGGGTGACCAGGACCCATGTTTTTCTGAGAGGAGATGCTGAGTCCTAAGCAGAGGTTTGGGGACAACTCAAAGGGCTTTCCTATGTCCCCATTCCCTTCTCTGACTCCTCACTTCAGCACTACTTGAGAAAAACAGAACCTGACACAGCTGCCGATATCCTTGAGGAGTATGGCTTCTCAGGGCAATACAGTGTTCCTGCTAATATTGTTTAAGACTGCCTGGGCACTCTCTTTCTCCAAGGAGAATGGAAAAGCAGCTCCACATTTCAGTGCTGCTATTTTTATCCCTGTCGGCTCATTGCTGGGACACGTGGACCTGTGTTCCCAGAAGCAGATTCCAGATGGAGCAGAGTAGGATGGGGTGGGCTAGGGTGCAGAAGGTAGGCTGTGGGCCTGCTTATTCTGGCAGCCAGCTCTCTCAGTAGTCATCCAGTGGGGCCACCATACAGATGTGGGCCTGACATCAGTCCCAAATCCTCCATTGATTACAAACCTTGTAAACACTCTCGACCCAAGTTTCCTCATCTAGAGACTGAGGGGTTGGATGAGATCCTTCCTGTTGTGGTGATATCTCCTTTAAGGACATCAGGAGGACTTTCCTGAGCCCTAATCTTTCCTCGAGCCTAAGCCTGAGATACATCAGGAGCTTGTGTACCTGAGGCTTGTACTTCTCCTTTCAGCTCTGCATTTTATTTTCTCCATTCATTTCTCACATTTCTCCAATGAAAATTTTGTCAAATGTGAGAGTATATACTAAAGGTTTTGAACCCTCACATAGATTTTAAGAGCCTGATAAATCTTAGTGTCATACACTCAGAGTCTCTTCAGCTCCTATGTAGAGCCACTATACTAGTTTTTCCCTAATATTATATTTAGACGTTAAATCCCATTATCTTTACAAGTTGTTATTAACATATGAAAATAGATTGATTCTTTCCTGACAAATAATGATCAATTCAGAGTATCTTCCTGGAGTCCTGTTTTGAAAAGGATCCTGAGAGGCCATTCAGGCTTAGAGCAGGCAGTGTGATCAATTAGCAATGTCTGCCCTGGTTTCTTGCTGGAAAAATGGACCTCATGAGTTGCAAGTGTTTGCTATCCATGGCATGCAATATTGAATATTTGTTTGCAACCTTAGCTATCCTTTCCAAAAGGGAAGAGTGACAAAACCTAAGTGTTAGGGTCAGAGATCTGAATTCCCACTCACTCTGCCAACAACTAGGGAGCTCTGGTGCCCCAGTGGTATGGAGCTGCGCTGCCAACCCCCAGGCACATGGTTCAAATCCACCTGCAGCACTGCAGGAGAAAGATGGGCAACCCACTGGAGTGTGAGCTTTGGGTCGGTTCTGACTCGACAGTCCAACAATAACTGCTGCCAACTAATTGCATGTCTTAGGTAAGTAGCTGTGTCATCTGTCTCAATCTGAAAAATAGAGATCAGAAAACCTGAGGGCATTAAAAAAAAAAAAAGAAAACCTGGGGGCATTTATGAAGTGGAGAGTTGATAAAAATATGTGAAGGTAACATATTGGCTGTTTCTTTTGTTGATCTATCCAGGAGACCTGGTACTGGCATGGGAATATCTACTCCAACAAAGTGGTCATGAGTGGAGTGAAGTGTTCGGGAACAGAGCTCTCCCTGGCACACTGCCGCCATGATGAGGATGTGGCCTGCCCCCAGGGTGGGGTGCAGTACGGGGCCGGAGTCGCCTGCTCAGAAAGTAAGAACTCCTAGAAAGCATACCCCACAGCTCTCACCAAGATGGAGGAAAGAACCAACTATTCTATGCAGGGTTCGGGGCTCTTAGCCATGTTGTTGTTGTCGTTGTTGTTATGTGCCGTCGAGTCGCTTGCTACTCATAGCGACCCTATGTACAACAGCCCTAAACTCTGCTCTGTCCTGTGCCAGTTGCACTCTCTCTGACACTCCCATCCCAATTATCCCAGTCACTGAATCAATCCACTTCATAGAGGTGGATTGAGGGCCTTCCCCTCCTGCACTGTCCCTCCACCCTCCCAAGCATGATGTCCTTCTCCAAGGACCGGTCTCTCCTTACAACATGACCAAAGTATGTCAGATGAAGCCTCAGAATCTTTGCCTCCAAGGAGCAGCCCAGTTTAACCCTCTCCAGGATGAATCTGTTTGTTTTCCTAGTAGTCCATGGTACCCGCACTACTCTTCTCCAACACCAAAGCTCAAAGGCATCAATTCTCCTTCCATCCTCCCTAGTCATTGTCCAACTCTCTGATGTGATAGCAAAGACCATGGCCTGTATCAGATGCACCTCAGACTCCAGAGAGACACCATTGCTCTTGAGTACTTTAGAGACGTCCCTAACAGCAGACTTTCCCATCGCAATACGTCTTTTAATTTCCTGGCTGCTGGCCATGAGCTGAGCAAAAATGGAAGGCAGAGATTAATTCTTAAGTGAAATGAGTCCAAGACAAAAGGGACTGTCCCCACCCACACCTTCACACAAATCTCTAGCCACAGTCATATCTAGGAACATAGAGCAAAGGAAAGCAGGAGGGAGAGAGTCTGGCAACTTTGGGTTCAAATCCCAGGTCATTGTTTGTCACTATTGTGTGATCTTGGGAAAATTAGATGAACAAGGACTCTTTGTTCTCATTCATTAAGTGAAGGTGCTTCTCAGCCTTCCAAACTTCAGGGTCCTTCTGAGGTTGGTAAAGCACAGGAAGCGCATGGCAAGTGCTTGTCATCTGCCTTCCTTCTACCTGCTCCACTTCCTTTCAGGCCCCAGACATGACTTAGCTTCCTGGTGACTTTCTGAGGGAACTCGGGTGGCACAGCCCTTAGGAAGTTGTGCTGCAAGGCCAAAGGTGATGCCTCTCTGGTGGTTCAAATCCATCGACTGCTCTGAGGGAGAAAGATGGGCAAATCTCCTCCCATGTGATTTACAGCCTCTAAAAACCCTCTGGAGCATCAGCTATAAGTTGGTTCTGACCTGAGAGGACAGTTGAGTTTGAGTTTTGAGTGGGTGAATCCTAGAAAGATTGAAAATACAGAAGGAGAAATCCGAGCCAGGATCCTGACTAACCAGCTCAGGAGGGCTCTTCATGCCACGAGGGAGGAAAGAGGACCAGCTGGCCAGCCTTGTGGGTGTGGTGCGCTCCTGAGCCTGAAGTCTCTCTCTCTACCATTGGCCTTCGAAAGCCACACGTTGCTATCTCTGGCTCTGAATCTGGGAGGTGGACCAGGCCCAGGAACCGGTCAGAGAAATTAAGACCAGACCTGCCACTTTTAGCTGATACTAAGTTAGCTAACTACTGAGAACTAAGGTTTTACTTCATTTGTTTGTTCTAGAAACTGAAAATGAAATGTAATGCAGAATATATGTAAGTGCTTAGTAAACAACGATGCACTGTCATTACACCATGCAGAGCTAGTGAGAGTCAAGTGGAGCTCAGTTCATTTCTCCCACCAACCCCTTTTAGACTCATTCAGTACTTTACTGTTCCTATAAAGCAAGATTCTCATTCTTTTTTTTTTTTAAATTTTTTTAAGATTCTCATTCTTAAGGGGAACTTCTTTGGGAGATACCACAAACTGTCACATCCTGTGTAGGAGGGGAGATGGGGGGAATCACCCTTCTGACCAGCTTCCCAAAGGGAGTGCAAACAACAGAGAGAATCAGGTCACAGCCCATCAGGGTCCTTTGCTTTATTCATTTATTTATGTTTGCAATAGTCTATCTTTTCCCAAAATAAATCTATATAAACAAATAAAATTCAGGGCAGCATAAATTAGAAACAAATTTTTAAAATATGTATTGGGGAAAAGAAGGTGGCTTAAAATAGAACCAGGTGAGAGGTTAATGTAAAAATATACATATAAATACTATAGAATGCTATACATTTAGTGTGGCTTGGTCATAAATTTAAGAGTGAGTTTTCTAGTAGCTAAGGGAAAAGAGACCTAGTTATTGATATAATTGACAGTATCCATATAAATAGCTCCTTTAGTTAAGAGAAGTCCACTATTCAAAAAGGACTTCTCTTTAAGAAAACATGGTATTACGGGGGAGTATACTGGGTATACGAATGTTTAAGTAAGCAACTTGCCTGTTGTTGTATTGTTGTTATGTGCCGTCGAGTCGTGTTCGACTCAAAGCGACCCTATGCACAACAGCCCTAAACCCTGCTCTATCCTGCGCCAACCGCACTGCCTCTGACACACCCATCCTGATTACCCCAGTCACCGAATCAATCCATCTCATAGAGGGTCTTCCCCTCCTGCGCTGTGCCTCCACCCTCCCAAGCATGATGTCCCTCTCCAAGGACCTGTCCCTCCTGGCAACATGTCCAAAGTATGTCAGACGAAGCCCCAGAATCCTTGCCTCCAAGGAGTAGCTTGGTTTAATCCTCTCCAAGATGAATCTGTTTGTTTTTCTGGCAGTCCATGGTACATTCAGTACTCTTCTCCAGCACCACAGCTCAAAAGCATCCACTCTCCTTCTGTCCTCCCTAGTCATTGTCCAACTCTTTGATGCATAACAAGCGATTGCAAATACCATGGCCTGTATCAGGCGCACCTTAGTCTCCAATGAGACACCATTGCTTTTGAGTACTTTGGAGAGGTCCCTAACAGCAGACTTTCCCATCGCAATACACTTTTTGATTTCCTGACTGCTGGTGCCAAGAGTGTTGACTGTGGAGCCGAGCAAACTGAAGCTGTGAACAATCTCAATCTCTTTGCCATCCATCCTGACACTGCCAATTGGTCCAGTGGTGAGAATCTTTGTCTTCTTGACATTGAGCCTCAGTCCATACTGAAGGCTGCAGTCCTTGACCCTTCGCAGCAAGTGCATGAGGTCCTCCTCAGTTTCAGCAAGCAGGGTTGTGTCAGCTGCATAACGGAGATTGTTAATCAATCTTCCACCAATCCTGATGCCACAATTCTCCTCATAGAGCCCAGCTTCTCGGATAATCTGCTACTAACCAAAAAATCTGGTGGTCGAACCTCCTTGGAGTCAGCTTACCAGACAGCCTGGTGATCTGTTTTGAAAGGTCACAGTTTCAAAAGCCCTGTGGAATTCATTCTCCTCTGCTCACGTGGAGTCTCTATGAGTTGGAATGGCTTCAGTAGCAACTAACAACAGTAACAAAGGGTTGTAAGATGAACGATTCCTCAGTATCCTTATGTAAAACCAGAGAGTTCAGTGGGGCTCTTACTCAGAGTGCCCCTCAGCTTAGACTGACTGCAGGACTCGCTTTCTCTGCCAGGGAGCAATAGCTAATGGGACGAGGGCACAGGACTTGAAATACACACCTTAATACACATTGGAATAGTTGGAAAAGTATAGTCAGGCAATCCTTGATAGTTATTATACCTCATATGACCAAGTATATAAACCAGATATCTGCAAGCCCTCTTTGTTCTCTCTCTCTTTTCTTCATCCTCTATCCTCAATACTATTTTTTTTTGTTTTGTGTTTTTTATTTCTGTGTTCTTTTAGCTGTCTCTACTTCCTTCCACTCCCCTGACACTGACTGTGTCCAGGTGACAGTCTTTCATATTGAAACTACTGCAATAAGGGCCCTGGCTGGGATCCTACCGCTCACATGCTCCTTTGATTGCTTCCCTGCCCAAACTCCAATGCTGTTCTACCACTTACATACTGTTCTGTTGAAATCCCTCCCAGAGTTTCAACAAGGCTCGTGTTTTCCTGCCTCACCTCATGTCGTGACAGTGGAGGAATTGATAGGGAGATGAATAGATGTCCAAGATGTGTTTCCCATGTATATTTTTGATGTTAGGGAGGTCAAGACCCTACCCCAGGGCAGGTGCTGAGAGTGCAGCTCCTCTGTACCAGCTAAACTCAGCGATGCTCCCCTAGCCTCTCCTGAGATGGAGGTAGGGCTGGCCTCCTCTCAGAAGGAGGAAGGCCTAGGGAGATCTCTCTGCTCAAAAGTAAACTGAGGAGCTGCCCATGAGCATCAACAATCACAAATTAATAACTAAGACTCACCCAAATCTTTCAAAATAGTGTGCCTGGAATGCTCAGCTTTTGGCAATGCTGCATTCTGGTATTCCCTCCAAGATTAAATATTTTGCAAACCGTCAGTAAGTGGGAGCATCCTGATTTATGCTTTCATGTCCTATCCCACAGCCCATCTGCATGTGTTCTTTTACTATCTTCCTGCTCCACATCCATTTTTGCAGTAGATTTTCCATCCAGATGCTGCAGAGCCCCACCAGGTGCCAAGGAGTTCCACATAGTGATGGAGAGCCTAAGGGCAGAGGGCAGACGGGGACTAGCAGGGCACATGCGCAGACCACCGGAGGATGTAAGAAAAGACTGAAGCAACGTATATAGACATATACTTATTTAAGACATTTACAGCATCTTGGGGGGGAAAAAATCTTCATTTTCATTGATGTAGCACATAAAACATTTTTGTTAATTGAACTATGTAATTCTTCAATGAACATTCAGTTGTTTTTCTTGTTATTTTATATTGGTTTCTCACAAAGTTCGTATACACTGTGTTTCACACTATCCTTCATTTGCACTGTGGGAACACTCAGTTATTGAGTTAAACTTAATCTTCCTACTAAGAAACTAAGCCTCCTAATTCAGCTGCTTAGTAAGCGACGATCTTACTCATCAGTAATTTTCTGACACCTGCTATGTGCAGTGCCCTAATTGAGTAAATCAAAATTCTTTTAAAACATCTGCACCTGGGGCAAACCCGCACAGAGAATAAGAATGTGGATGAAAACTGGTATAACCTGTTAGGATGACAATTTGGCAGTAAGCATCAGAGCCTTAAAAATATGTAGCTCATGGCTGCAGAAATCTTCACTTACTTTAACATACATTTTAAAGATATAAGTTTATTACCTCAGCTTTATTATCCACAATGAAAAACTTCCAACAGGCGAAGTATCCAAAACCGAAGTAGGGCTATGAATTAAATATTGTATTACCACTCAGTGAGGAATGTTGGTTCATCTGAAAATGTATCTTTCAAGGAGAACAGTATAAAGAAAGTATAAATCTACATGCACTGTTCTCAAACCTCAAGCTCATTGTCCAGTTGGAACTGACCCACAGCAGGTTGTCAGGAGGCTGGAAGGTGCACAAATTGTCCATCTTTCTCCCTTGGAGCCATTGGTGGATTCGACCCACCAGAGATGGCACCACCTTTTGGGTTAGCATAATTCCTATAGCCTATGCCACCAGAGTGAGCTCCCTATATGCATTATTAAATACATTAAAAAGAAATAGTTCTCCAAAGAATCAGACCTAGTTATAAGTGTTCTGTCAAAAAACTCTCATTGCCGTTGGATCAGAACCACCTCAATAGCTGCCCCTCCACGGGCTGTCCCTGGGCTGTGAACTGCACCAGAAGAGATTGCCCACCTTGCTCCTGAAGCAGCTGGCAGATGTGAACTGATGGGGAGACTCAGTCTTCAGGTCGGCAGCACAGTGCACTGTGAAGGGAATAAGCCAGAGCTTGTTCTCTCTGTAGGCAGCATAATTGTGTTGTTATTATTGTTTGCATTTTTTACTATGGAAAATTTCCAACCAGAGAATGAATGAAACATGATCTCTCATGTAGCTATCACACAGTTTTTAATAACTGTCCACATTTGCCCCTCTCTATATTGTTGAGTGAAGATGTGTAAAAAGGACTCTCAGGAAAGGGAAGGAGTAATCTGGAGGAGGAGTTAAACCAGGAAAGTAACCTTGGAGCCAAGATCTTGAGTCAGTTCCAGAAGGGGGTAACAGGCAGGCATAGGGGGGTCTGCCCTACCTCAGGAATCAAATTAAATACCCAGAAGAATGGAGCCCCTTGTCTTGCTTGAACACCCTGTCTGTTCCTCCCCAGCCGCCCCTGACTTGGTCCTCAACGCAGAGACCGTCCAGCAGACCACCTACCTTGAGGACCGGCCCATGCAAATGCTTCAGTGTGCCATGGAGGAGAACTGCCTCTCAGCCTCAGCCGCCCAGACAAACCCCACCACGGGCTACCGCCGCCTCCTGCGCTTCTCCTCCCAGATCCACAACAACGGCCAGTCTGACTTCCGACCCAAGAACGGCCGCCACGCGTGGATCTGGCATGACTGCCACAGGTGAGTCTTCCTGCCACCAGCCTGCCTCGGCCTGACATCCAGCAGGGTCACAGAAGGGGGATTCGGAACCATCAGCATCGCTTAAGGGTCCAGGGAGCTGGTTCTCCACACAGCCCTTCCACCTCTGCTGATGTCCTTCTCCACTCCTATTTCCATGGCCCACCTCGCTTGCCCCATGTCCTAGCTTTCATACCAGCACCTTGAACGTCAGGAAGCTTGCTTTGCTGTGAGCACCAGTGCCCGCTTCACTGACTTGTCATCAGTGTTTTCCATGTGGTGCTGCACAGAAAGCGCATGCTTCGCAGGGGTCCTCTGGCCATCTGCAGTGTCTGCCTCTAACTGCATGTGGGAGAGCTCTGGTGGCTTAGGGGTCAGGAGTTGCATTACCAACCCAAAGGTACATGATTAGAGTCCCCCAGCTGCCCCGAGGGAGAAAGGTGGCCAATATCCCCCCACACACACAATTTATAGTTTTGTATTTATATCCCCCCATTAGGTCAGCTGTGAATTGGTTCCAACTTGACAGCACACAACAATGACTGCATTTGAAATGTATTTTAAATAGTAGTGTGAACTTTAAATACCTGCAGGACAACAGTAGGTGTGGAAGCAGGAGAGTCAGTCCAACAGTCACAAGACCTGGTCTCTAACTGGCTACGTGATGTCGGTCCAGCTGAGCCACATCACCCGAAACCGCTAATGTCCCTTCCAGCTCCGTCAGTACGGGCTTCAATCCCAGTGCTATAAATCCTGGACAGGAACACAGTAAAAGCCAACAGCCAGTCCCAGCTGGAGGCCACAGACGCCACCCCGTACATTTCCTTGCCTTTACTTTCTTATTCTCCCCTCCCCTGATTTTTAATCTCACCCAGAGCCTGGTATCCCTGCCGGCACATGTTTTCCTGCTGACACCTGAGCTGAGCAGGTACAAGGAAAGCAAGCACACCATTAAAAGGGGGCGTGGGATGGGGATGCCTTTGCCATTCAATCCAGAAAGAATGCCCCTGGTGTGTCCACGGTCACTGACCTGCTGGTTTCCCTTCTCCATCAGTGATAAGGAGTTGTGCTGCCATTTCAAAGGCATGTGGTTCGAATCCACCAGGTACTCAATGGGGGGAAAATGGGCAGTCTCCTGCCATGCAATTTACTGTCTCTGAAAACCCCCTAGAGGGTCAACTTTGAGTCAGTTGTGACTCAGTGGAGTTTTCTAGCCCCTTTTGAAAGCAAAGCATTTGTACTAGATACGAGTTTCTACCTAACTTGGGAGGGACGGGAGAGCATTATGCTGAGTGGACTAACTCAGTCCCACAAGGATAAATATTGGTTGGTTGGTTGGTTGTTCTGTGTGTGTACTATCAAATCGGATCTGACTGGTACTGGAGGAGATTGTCCCTCCATATCCAGCAAAGCATCTGGTGGATTCGAACCATGCACCTCTGGGATTGCAGTGCAGCTTCTTGCCACTAGGTCACCAGAGCTCTCTAAGGATAAATATTGTATAAAATCATTATTGTACAATGAGTATCGTGAGGGGTAGAAGAGGTTAGAAGTAGAGGGACGAGGATGTGCAGGGAGAGGGGAGATTAATCATGGGGTTGTACAATTTGATGGGTGGGAGGGTGAGGTAATTTGAAAGAATCTGATTTCAAAAACAACGAATTCAAACCTTGTAAATAAACTAGTATAAATAATAATTTTTTTAAAAAAAAAACAATAAAAAGTGAGCTCCAAAGACCAGCAGTGTCAGCCCCACCTGAGAACCTGGGAAGTACTGAATCCCATTTCCCACTGCAGACTTACAGGTTAGCGACTATAACCACAGGTGACATCTGAGCAGCTCTGCTCCAAATGACCTCCAAACATGCTTCCATCTCCAACATGTGGCAACCACTATTAGGGCAGGAAGAACTAACACTTACAGATGTCATTCTAAGTGCACGTGCATCTACTAATCCCCATTTGCATATCAGGATATGGAATCTCAGAGCTTATGCAGCATACTCAGGAAAACATTAGAAATTTTGCGCCGTTCACACTTACTGATCCCACTTCAGGTCTGTTGGACTCCAGTGTACATACATTCCTTCTCTTTACTAATAATCAAAAATCCTTTTTTGGCTTCTTTTTCTTGGCACAGCTTTTATCCTAGTCGTGTTCCAATCAGCATTTAAAAGAAAAGACCATAAAGTTTCACACACACACACACACACACACACACACACACACACACACTCCATTGCCATCAAATAGATTCCTACTCACAGCAATTTTTTTCATTTTTTTTGGTTTTTTTTCCATTTTTTTAATAGCATTCCGTTTATTACAAATATTTAGTATTGGCTTCCCATATTTCCCCCCTTTTGTTTTTATCATAATTGTGTTATCATCTAGATGAGTACTCATAGCAATTTAAGCAGAGTAGAACTTCCCATAAAATTCTTGAGGTTGTAATTATTACAAAAAAAGACTGCCACGTTTCTCTTGCAGAGAAAGTGGATAGGTTTGAACTGCTGACCTTTCCGTTAGCAGCTGAATGCTTAACTCCTGCACCACTACGGCTCCTATGATATAATTTAAGGGGAGCCATTTTCTCCATTATAATTACTATCTGCATTTTCTGAAAGTTCCAGTTAGCTGAGGAATTAGCTGGCCTTTATAAAAAGAAGCATGTCAGCCTACAGGATATAAGTTAGAGTTAAATTAAAGCCATGATACACTGATGCCTGTTCCTTAGGGAACATGTGTGTGTAAGGGCTGGGTGTGCAGGGGCTGGCACTTCCTATGGGTCTATAAGTAGAAGGTAATTGCATCTCTGCTTTACATATGGCAGTCCACCCAGAGATTTCATGGTAGATTTCTCTTTGTGACATATACTTATGTCCTCACCAAGGAATTGGTTACTCCTCTAAGAATAGTCACATGGTGACTTCATTGAAGTGCCTCTTTTTGTCTGGAGCCCTGGAGATGCGGGCCCTCCCTCCCCCGCCACCGCCCCCCCTTCCCCTATCTGTAGTTTCTTTCTTTGCTTGCAGATGTTGTAGTCAATGGTTGGTGGGATGGGGAGGATGAGTAGGCAGGAAAATGCTGGCTAAGCATATGTCCCTTTAGCCCTCTTCTTCTGGGCCACATCACAGAGAAACTATAGCCGTAAGATCCAAGGGCAGGAGGCCGGCCTGGCCTCAAGAGTGCCTGGTGATTTCTCCAGATTCTACAGGAGGACATTTCAATAGGCCTCCTGGCCCTGAGCCTCTCTGAGTCTTTTTGGGAGTCAGAGAAGCGCTGGCCCTCCCTCTCCTCAAAGAAAAAAGAAAAATCTAAAAGACTTAACATACTATTTCCATAGATTGACAGACACTCTAAAGCATATCTGTGGAGCCCAACTTGAAAACTGCTGGCTCAAATTAGTGTGAATGAGGAAAACTCTAATTTCTTATTTTGTTCACACAATAAGGAACACAGTTGTGTTCTCTGAAAGTCCTAAGATAAAGCAAAAAAGACTGACACTCTCCAGAGTTGCCTAGCCAACCAGAGAGAAAAGTAATAAAATGTCTTCTGAGTCGTCAGTCTTTCCTGTGCATCTTTGTTGAAGGTCTTGATGGTTTTCTTGTTTCTTGTGCCCAGGCACAGGGGCACACCTGTCAACAGCCCTTGACAGAGACCAGAAAATGTTGGATGCTGATCCTCACCAGGGCGTGGGACAGCCCTGCCCCTCCTGGTTCTGTGTCCTGGGAACCTACCCCACCTTAGAGACAGAAGCTGAAGAAGTAGGGAGGCATGATTTCTAGCCCAGGGGTAACAGCCTCCCTTTGAATCAGAAGAAGATAAAGGCACTGTTGCCGGGGTGGGGGGGTGTAGGGTTCCGGCTCACTCAACTCTGACTCCTCGCATGATAAAGAGCCCGGTCAGAGGGGCAAAGCCCTGCAGATGTGATGTGGACTCTGTTAGCCAGTGTGAGGTCCTCATCACATCAATGAAGCTTTGCTCCTCCCCATGGATTGCTAACACACAGGGTATCTGTGGAGCAGGCACAAGAGCACTGACCCTCTGTACCTGCACCCTGGGAACTGGAAGCATCAGTGCTCTCTGAAGGAGTTCTGGGGGATGAAAACGCTGCCCCAAACTCCACAGAGTGCTGACCAGAATGATGTGGCTGGGTGTGGGTAATCTTTTATTTATTTAAAAAAAAAAAGTCAACCAGTTGCCATCAAGTCAGGCTGGAGTCCTGGCAACCCCACTTATGTCCAAACAGGACTGAGAGGCACAGGATTTTCAGTGACTAGTTTTTCTACAGCAGATCATCAGGCCCTTCTTCCATGGTGCCTCTGTGGCTCAAACTCCTAACATTTTGATTAGGAGCCAAGCATCTTAACAGTTTGTGCTACCAAGGGACTCTGTGGAGAAAAACCTCAACCCACATCTGCTCTGATTTTCTGATTGATGGTTTCATGTAGACTTCTTAAAGACCTAAGGTAAAAAAGAACAAACCAGAATTCCCATCTTTCTCGGAACTTTTTCTGTCATGTAGCACCTCCCATTTCAATTGGTACTATCTCTCAAAAAAACTCACTGTCATCAAGTTGGAACCAACTCACAGCTGAGGACATTGGACAATGGAGGCATTGAGTTTCCAAGACTAAATTGCAAGGGAGAAGACTGCCTAGTTTTCTCCCAAGGAGAAAGGCCACAGAGAAGCCTTTGGGTTAGCTGCATAGCTCTCTGTAGACTACATCAGTGACTTCTGGAACACTTTTATCTAGTTTAGAATGACCTCCATCAAGGGCCAAGCCCTTCTCTCTCTTTTTAAAGTTCTGTAATTTCTTTCCACCTGTATTTCTCTGTCTCTGCCCCATGGATCAGGCCTTTTCTGAGACATCTGAAGGTTAGGGCATCTCAACCTAGAAAGAGAATGTCTTATCTTCAGCAGCAGCACACTCCTTTCCATCTTCCCAGTGTCTGGTCTGTGGAGAGGATGCTTCTAGGCTCTCCGTGTGTGTAGAGGTGGAGAGGGTGCTTTTAGGCTCTCCAACTGGCCCACTGAGAGCAAGATGTGGCCTCAGCTGCTGTTCTGAGAGGTAAAGCACTGGCACCCCAGGACAGAAGCTACTAAAATCAGGAGACTCCAAGCCGGGCCATTTCCTTCCCAGTATTCACAGAAGGGAAAAACTGAAGAGTCAGGGAAGAATTATAAATCAGGAGGCAGGAGGAATGGGACGAGGTCAGCCTTACAACAGTCCGTCTGTGGAGTCTGTCTGAATTCTGTTTAGACAACGAAACATAAACCTGTTTCTCTTCAGTCTTTCCAGTCAGTAAACATGGTAACATAAGCCCCTCTCTGAATGATGCAGACATTTTTTAGGCAATGAGTCAGACCTCATGTCTCATCTCACTCCTTCAAAAAGTCAGAAAAGATGCTTTCAAAGTCATCGCCTCGACTGCCACAGAATGCTCCTTGTGAGTGTTCTCAGCGAGGCATTGGCGCAGAACCATTTCGCCCGGAAACATGAGTGACCTGGGGAAAGCCCAGCTTAGGAGCCTCTGGGATTATTTTTAGCACAAGCAAACATAAGAGGAAGAAAAATGAGCCTCTAATTTCCTCTCAGAGAACCTATCCTTTTACTTCCCCTCTTCCTTCTGTACTCTATTCCCAGATACCAAGGGAGGGAGCATGAGACAACCGCAAGAGGGTTGGAAGGTGAGGGAGCTAAAGCTGGCCCAGAAGGAACAGGAGGAATAAGAATAGAGAGAAGGTTGGCAGGAACTGAGTACTCTTTCTGTTACAAGCCATGTGCTGAAGAGCAGTGATATCAGTCTGAAGACTAAGATGTGCTTGATCCAATTCATGGTCTTTTCAGTTACTTACTATGCCTCTGAAATCTGGACAGTGACTCAGGATGACAGAAGAATTGATGCCTTTGAGTGTGGTGCTGGAGAAGAGGGTTGAATATACCATGAACTTCCAGGAGAATAAACAGGTTCATCCTGGAGAGGGTGAAACCAGGCTGCCCCTTGGAGGCAAGGATTGAGGCTTGTAGCATGGGCATGTAGCAAGGAGGGACCAGTCCTTAGAGAGGGACATCATGCTTGGAGAGTGGAGGGACAGCGCAGAAGAGAAGGACCCTGTATGAGATGGATTGATTCAGTGACTGGGGTAAAGGAGGTAGGTGTGTCAGAGACAGTAAGGTTGGCACAGGATAGAGCAGGGTTCAGGGCTGTTGTATATAGGATCGCTGAGTCACAAGCAACCAATGGCACATAGCAATAAAAACAACATGTCAAGACAGACAGTGACGCTTGAATAGTTGCAAATGCTTGTGACACACATCTTGTAGCTGGGCTCCAGCTAAGGAAAGCCTGGTCCCTTCAGCCCAAGGCCTGCTTAAGCTGGCTGTGAAGTTCAGAAAAGCCCCATCGTGGCACATGGCAGCCATGTTTCTCCTTGTTTATCCTGAACCAAATATAACACTTTCCAAGAACCAGCAGCATCTGTTCTCAATTCCACACAAGTGAAGAGATGGAACATCCTTATGTAAACTATCAGCTGATGAGGAACGCTGGGTTGCACAAGGTCTCTCCCTCCAGTTCCTCTCTGAAGCCCTGAGGGATGCACCTCCTTGGTCGGCACTTTGTGTCTCTGAGAATGACTCACTTCACCTTTCCATAGTGCCTCAGGAGTGGTCCTTCCCCTCCTTGTCTTATTTACTTAATGCAAAGAACATAGACTGCTGCTGCTTACAAGGTTCTGCCCAGCTTCTGGGCTGACCGGCACCTTCCTGTCCCCAAGAGGTGAAGCCCCTTAGGTGGGTTAAGACTCTTCCCCTGATCTCATATGCATTGTCAAATATTCAGGAAGTATGCCCTGTTTAATTTTTTTTTAAGATTTCTTTCTTTCTTTTTTTTTTTTTTTAGATTTTCATGAAAGATTATAAAGAACTCGGATTTCCATTCATTCATTGTTGCACATTTTCCTTCTGTTTCCCTTCCCTCCAGTTTGCTTTTTTCTTTGGAAAAAAGGTTCTTTCATTGTTATACAGCCCCCACACACCTCAACCACTTTAATATGCAACTCTTATTCTGTCATACTAATAATACCCCGTCATATATTCCTTTTATACCATACTCTCCCTCATCTGTTTCAATGCAGTGTACATTATTTATTATCCTCTTTTCTTAGTTTCTCCCAACCTCCTTATCACTCTTATTCTAAAACAGTAGCACTATGCAGTATTTGTCTTTTTTTGTGACTGAGATACTCCATTCAGTATAATGTCCTCCAGGGTCATCCATTTTGTATCATATTTCATGAATTCTTTGTTTTTCAGTGCTCCATAATATTCTGTTGTGTGATTATACCACAGCTTTACTATCCATTTTTTTGTTGGTGGGCACTTGGGTTCTTTCCAACTCTTTGCTATTGTGAACAAAGCAGGAGTAAACATGGGTGTGCATATATATGCTTGAGTGGCAGTTTTGGGTTTTTTAGGGTATATTTCCAGTAGTGGAATTGCTGAGTCAAGTGGTATTTCTATTTGCAACTTTTTGAGAAAGCGCCATACAGCCTTCCATAGTGGCTGCACCATTTTACACTCCAACCAACAGTGAATAAGTGTTCCGGTTTCTCCACACCCTTGCCAGCATTTGTTGTCTGTTGCTCTGTTGAATTTTGCTGTTCTTACTGGTATAAGATGATAGCTCATAATTGTTTTGGATGCATGCCCTGTTTATTAATGTTTATGCTTTCTCCCCTCCCCCTTTGACTCCATATATCCCACTCTTTTTATGCTCTTTCCTATCCTACCATATTTCCTTTTTAAAAGTTTTAAGACATTGAAATTAGACCTCTATTAGTATGAAGAGGGAGGTCTGGTGTCCTAGGATACAGTTGCGCTACCAACCCAAAGGCAGGTGGTTCAAACCTACCAGTGGCTTCTTGGGAGAAAGATGAGTAATCTCCCCCAGTCTGTAAATTCACCAGAAGATCAGCTGAGAATCAGTTCCGACTCAATGACAGTGAGAGAGATTAGTCTAAAGAAAGCAGGCTAAGTAATAATGGGCTGTTTGTTCCAATTTAAAAGTAGAATTGTTCCAATCCTAAAGTAAAATCGTTATTGCTGTTGTTGTACTGTAGAGTTGGAACTGACCCATAGCTGATCCTCCAGCGGGTTTCAGAGGCAGTTAATCACACAGGAGGAGATTGCCCATCCTTCTCCCATGGAGCAGCTGGTGGCCTCAAACCATGTGCTTTTGGGATTGCAGCATAGCTTCTTGCCAGTAGGCTACCAGAAATCCCTAAAGTAGGGTCATTGGTTATTAAAAATAATGTTGTTGTTGTTGTTGTTGTTGTTGTTGTTGTTGTGTACCGTCGAGTTAGAACCAACCTCTTGCTGCTCCTCCAGTGGATTTTAAAAGGTCTTGCTCAGGTGAGCTCTGGTGGCCTAGTGGCAAGAAGCTGCACTGCAATCCCAGAGGAGCACGGTTTGAATCCACGACATGCTCTGCTGGGAAAGGAGGGACAATCTCCTCCTGTACCAGTCAGATCTGATTTGACGGTACACGCACACACACCAATAATAAAAAATAAAATTAAAAAAAAAGGTCTTGCTTTTCTTTGTCCTGCGGAGCAGCTGGTAGATTTGAACTACCTGCCTTTGCATTGGCAGCCTAGCTTCTTGCCACCAAGTCACCAGTGCTCCCTTTAAAAATAGTGGTTTAATTTGTTGAGTTTATAAAACACTCTCATGAATTATGTATATTATTATTCCCAGCTAGCTGATGAGGGAATTTAGGCGAGGTAAGTTGTGTGATACCAGAGTCCACTCGCTTAAACACCCTCTCCAGCTCCTGCCTTCATCCTCTTCCCTGTGCCCCTGCTGCCCACTCCTCTCCTGGCATACTGCTCTCTAGGTGCTCTCAGCGGCAGGTGGCCAGTCTAGGCAGGGGTTACTCCAGAAACTGACTTTCCATGCCCTTCCTCTTACTCCCAGGCACTACCACAGCATGGAGGTGTTCACCCACTACGACCTGTTGAACCTCAATGGCACCAAGGTGGCAGAGGGCCACAAAGCCAGCTTCTGCTTGGAGGACACAGAATGTGAAGGAGGTACCCTTGTGGGCAGAGAGGTGGGGCCTTCACAGGGACCCCAATGCTCCCACCTCCACGCCGTCTGGCATGGAGTCCAGATCTGACACTGGACTCTGTGGCCAACTCTCCACATGCCCAACTGTGGTGAGAAGGCTCTCTGAGACCTTCCATGGCTACAGTTTGGAGCTGCAGGGTGTGGGAAGGAAGGTGTGGTTACAAAAAAATCCTTCAGAGCTACGTGGATGGGAACTAGTAGGTCCACACCATCTTCAGGGAAAAGTCCAACACACGTTGTCTGGCTGACAGACTTTCTTCCCACACACCCCATAGCCAATTGCCCCGTACCTAAGCTGGCTCTTCAGGTTCAAGCTCAAACACCCCACCCTGGCAGGTCCTCAGGCTCCTCCAGGCCAAGGGAACACTGTGCTCGCCCTTCTAGTTTACCCCTGTGCCTGCAACATAATGGCCTGTTCACATCCTGACGTTACCGTAGGCTCTTCAAGAACAGACACGGGGATCCCAATGGGCGTATCCAACCTAGAGTAGTGGCCAACATAGGAGCCTCCCGATATCTGAGTGTTTGATTGGTAATTCATTGGAGCAGTCCACCACTGACGGCTGCACAATCAGAGCATATACCAGGATCATACTGACCTAGCAAGGGCCACATGTAAATCAGAACATGACCCTCAAATTGCTAGACAGTCCAGGGGAAGGAGAGAAGAGAAGACTCCCATTCAGCTAAAAATAAACTCAAGAGCTTTGCCAGATAAGCATGAAAATGTCAGAGTTTCCCTAAAAGGCCAGGGTGGGCTGAAATGGTCAGAAAGTTCTCCATAGAGAAGAGGAAACTGGAGCCAAGCCTGGAGAGTGGGGGAGATGGTGGTACTCACACGGAGTTCATAATGAAGTCCAGATGGAGCTGAGGATGAGGGTGGTTTTGAGGACAGGCAGAGCCCATGTGAGTGTGGGGTCTGAGAACAGCATGCACAGCAGGACCGCTGAGGGCCCCTGTGAGAAGGGTGGCATGGAGCAGAGGGAGGGACGCTGACAAGGCAGCAAGGATGGACAGTGATGGGCTTCCTGCTACCTCCACCATCCTTCACAGACATCCAGAAGAGTTACGAGTGTGCCAACTTTGGTGAGCAGGGCATCACCATGGGCTGCTGGGACATATACCGCCACGACATCGACTGCCAGTGGATCGACATCACCGACGTGCCACCTGGAGAATACCTGTTCCAGGTGAGGGGCTGCAGGTCCTTGGTGATAGGAGGATGGGCCTAGTGCAGTGGGTGGCAGCTTTCCTCCTACCGGTGCTAAGACTCAAGGTGTGTTTCATCAGACCCCTCTTATACTCACAGAGCATTAAGGGGTGACCAGGGACCCAAGTTTGTGAGGCAGAAGTGGTGTTAGAAAATCATAGGGTTGCACAATTCTATGGGTGAGGGTGGCAAAGGAAATGGGAAGGATCTTGTGTTAACAATAATGTATTCTAACTTTGTAAATAAATCAGTATAAAATAAAAAAGAGGAAAAACTGAAGGGCATTAAAATGCCCTACTAGAAGAAATATATTTTTAATTTTGAAAATAAAATAAAAAATTATTCTAAAACACGGGTGACCCTGGAGGATGTTATGCTGAATAAAGTATCTCAGTTACAAAAGACAAATCCTGCAGAACACCACTGTTACAAAACAGGACTGACATGGAGGTTGGGAGAAAAATAAGAAAAGAGGAAATAATAATGCAAGTAATTAATGTAGCCCCTTAAGTAATTAATTTTACAAGTCCAGTCAATATTTACCCAAAAGCAAGAAGAAAAAGGAACAGAGAGACAGGACACTACAGAGGTGGGACAGGCAGGGTAGAAATAGGGCGACATTCTCACTGGCAGTGGAGATTATAACCAATGTCATGTAACAGTTTTAGGGGGAGTTCTGGTGGCCTAGTGGCTAGAAGCTATGCTGCAATCCCAAAGGCATGCAGTTCGAGGGAGAAATCACCTCCTGTGTGATTAATTGCCTCTGAAAATCCACTAAGGGGTCAGCTATGGGTCAATTCTGACTCTATGGAACACAACAACCTTGAATGAGATATCATTTGTTGTGTAAACTTTCACCTATAACATAATAAAATATTTATTACAATAGATGAGTGGATAATAACACAATATTGTTAAGAACAGTTCTGTCCTCCTAAACTGATAGAGAATATAAATTTACTTGTTAAAGCCAAAAAAAAGAAAAAATAAAAGAAAGCAAAGAGGGGATAAATAATGAACACTGCATTGGGACAGATGAAGGAAAGATTTAAAAGGTTAAACATTATTTGCATGACAACAGTCCAGAACAGAGATGCATAGCAAAATAGGCTGGGGTGGGAGGAGGGAGGAAATTATGCAACAATTAATACTTTTTTTTAAAAAAAGCAAAATGGGGTGTGGGAGTAGGGAGGAAATGTGCAATAATGAATTGAAATCCAAGTTGTCTGTAAACTTTTGATAAAAGCACAATAAAAATTATTTTAAAGAAAGAAAAAGGGGATGGTTGGGCTCGTGAGGACTAGAGACACCTAAGACATATGAATTCAATTCAGTGAACACCTGATGCAAATCAAAATGCATCTGCAGGCCAGATTTACGCCTGGGACCAGCAGTACATTGCAGGCAGGCAAAGGGAGCCTCCACCTTTTAACTCCTTTTGAGCTTCTCTCTGCCCTGCTCTCAGTGTCTCCAGTGCCCTCACCCTCAAGCTAGAAAATTATTGCAGAAGGAGCAAGTGTTTCTGACTGCCCATTCACAAGAATATCCAGCTCATTAGAGGGTCATCATATAAAGAAATAAATCTACAACTGCAGAATATCAAGCACTGGAGAAGACCTGTCCGAATGCCCATTTTTTCAGGGTCATCTCAGGGCTTCTTCATGTTCAGCCCTGGAAAGAGGCTAGCTAGCCTAGGGAAGAACCCAGGGCCATCTGGCCCACCACCACCTCTAAGCATCTGCATGCTCCTGCCAGAGCCCCTAGCTGGTGTGAGGTGATGCAAAGAGGCACCAGGGGCTCAATGTCTCTCCCTCTGGGTGCAGGTGTGCCTTCATTTCACCCTCTCATCCTCTCCCTCATCCCCACCTATCATGCTTTCTTTAGCCTTGCCTAGTTGGGTGGCAAAGTGGGTGACCAGAGTGTGTCATTCTGCTTTTAAAGCTTTCCCAGAGTGGTACGGCCCTGGCCCTCGGTCCCCACCCAACAGACAGTCCGCTGAAGAAGCAACACCTGTGGAGAACTGACCACAGCAGGACTCTGGAATGCTTCCTGGGAAATTTCAGAGGCTGGAAATCAGACAGCCAAGCACTTTTCCACCCACAAGCCCAACCGCAGACTTGGAGAGGCCCAACCAAAGAGCAGTGTGTTGTTTATTTTAAAAAAGTGCATATCTGTGCCCCTGCACACGTAGACGGCACATCGTGCTTTCTATTTCAGGTTTGCTGTCGCTTTCCTGGGTAAATGTGTTATCACTGTCTATGCTAACAAATAGTATACATTTCACAACTACATTTTAATATTTAAGATGTGCCAGGCACTCCGTAAGTCTTACAAAACCATTATCTCAGTTAAGCCCCAGTGAAGGGGGCATTACTGTATCCTTATCTTATAGCCATTCAAGCCTAAATTACATCAACTCTATGTTCTATGTTCCTCATCCCCAAACTATACAATTAGCTAAATTAACATATTAACTAAAACCCATTGCCTTTGAGTAGATTCTGACTCACAGGGACCGCCATCAGGTTTCAGAGGCTATAAATATTTCCAGGAAGTCTAACTTATCTTCCTCTTGTGAAGGAGGCAGATTCAATGCATGATGTGTGTAAGCAATGGAAGTGGAGTGGCTTGTGGTTTGCAACCTGACATGTCACTCACTACACCACCAGGATTCTTAAATTTACAGAGTTGTTGTATATGTCAGAACCAGCCCATAGCTGACCCTCTAGCAGGTTTTCAGAGGCAGTTAATCGCATGGGAAATTGCCCATCCTCCCGCAGAGCAACTGGTGGATTCAAACTAAGCATGTTTGGTATTGTAGCATTGCCTTTTGCCACTAAGCCACCAGAGTAAGGGCATGTTAATGCCCCGGATTCATTTAAAAGACTCTCTCCCTTGTGATAGGCACGAAGGCCCTGGGCTAGAAACTCACTTTCTCCAGTGCCCCTCAGCCCACCTCCCTCATCAAAGAGATCAGTGCCTCTGATGGCATGGGAAGAAGGAGCTGGCCAAGAAAGAAGACCGTTCCAGGCAGAGGGCCTATGAACAGAAGACTTAGGAAGGGCTGAACATATTAGGTTCTTGGGGGTCCTTTCTTTATCTTCATTCTTACCATTTCCTGGATTCCCAGCAGGACTCTAAGGGACTTAAAGCTGCTTATAGATCCTTCGCAGAGCCATAGTGTATGTGAATTGGATAGAGCTTGTGAAGACCAGATATTTAGCCTCTCCTCTAACTCCACCCTGCTCCCAGTCAGTCAGTCTGGTCCTGACAGCACTGGGACATGACCCTTGTCACAGTCCACTCTCTGGACTGCACCTCAGAGAAGCCTCTCCCTACTGCTTGGCATTCCTGCTGCTAGGCACCCTGTGTGGGCAGGGAGCTGCATGCAAGGCCTGGATGACAGGTGCAGTTCTCTTTGTGATCACATATGTGCTGGAGGGCAGGGGCAGGGAGGGACCAGGAGGGCTGCGGCATGGAAAAGACTTGGTGAAAGAAAAAGAAGTCCGTTCTAGAGTGGCACATTCATTTACCTGCCTTAACTGAAGACAACGCCAAAAAGTGGGACACTGTCCATGGTGTTGCTAGTGCAGCGTGGGCCACACCAGGTGACACCAGCAGTCTATAAAATGTGCAGTTTTTCAGCAGAAATTTATTTTATTAAAATATTCAGGGGCGTTGGGCTTGGGTTCCTGGAACCGTGGCCCAATTTGTCCGTAACTTGGTGGAGAAGGCTCTGGGGATGGTAACGGCTGCTGTGACTTACCCAAAGCCTCGATTGGCCACATTTTGGCACTATGCCAAGGTGAAGCAGGTTCCTCCAACCCCTGCTGAGATCCCTACAGCTATTCAGAGCCTGAAAAAAATAGTCAAGAGTGCTCAAACTGGTCGCTTCAAACAGCTCACAGTTAAAGAAGCTCTGCTGTATACTTTGGTGGCCACTGAGGTGTGGAAGTGGTTTTATATCGGCAAGATCATAGGCAAACATGGGATCATCGGCTATGATGTTTGAATGCATCCAATTATACTTCATTTACTATTTGTGTATTCTTGGACCATGTGTGATAAGATTAGTATCTCAATAAAATAGATAATACGAAAAAAAAAATTCCCGTAGTTAGTTAAGGAAGCTCTGGTGGCCTAATGGATAAGGAGTAGTGCAGCCAACTCAAAAGTATATATATGGTTTGAATCCACCAACTGCTCCTTGGGAGAAATATGAGTAGTCTCCTCCCATGTGACTGACAGCCTCTGAAAACCTGCTGGAGGGTCAGCTGTGAATTGGTTCCAACTTGATAATAACAACAGTTAAAACTGCAAAAATATTTCAGTAACCCACATTTACATTTATCATTACTCAATGACAGGACACATCAAATTATGTGGTTTCATCTGCATGTGCTCCAAGGCTGTGTTGTTTTCTTTGTTGCTAGTGTCTATGTAGGGAGTTCTGGTGGCCTAATGGGTAAGGAGTTGAGTTCCCATCCTAAAGGCAGGCAGTTCAAATCAATCAGGATGGGAAATCTCCTCCTGTGAGATTTCCTGCCTTTCAAAATCTATGGGAAGGCCAGCGATGAACCGGTTCTGACTTGATGGTAAATAACTACAGTGTCTACATGGTTGCTCATTTTGTATGATGTTCTGTGTTAGCTACAATATTGAGGTAATTGTTAATTTGTAAACCTCTATTCAGAAAGTCCTTAGGAACAAAGCAGTAATTAAAAGGAAAAGGGGAGAGAATAAAAAAAGGCTTCTACTCAGTTACTGTTATTATAATTTAATATAGAAAGACTTCAAAATTGTGTTAATATTCCAATAATCTAAGAAATGGTTAAGTAGCTGTGCTGCAATCGCAAAGGCACGCGGTTCTAGGCTACCAGCTGCTCCATAGGAAAACAATGCGCAGTCTCCTCCCATGGGATTTACTGTCCCTAAAAACCCGCCAGAGGGTCAGCTGTGGGCAAGCTCCAACTCAACAGTACACAACAACATCATCATCACATATTACTTTATGGCAGGTTTTCAGAGGCAGTTAATTGCACCAGAGGAGACCGCCCATTCTTCTCCAGCAGAGCAGCTGGTGGCCTCAAATCATGTACCTTCCAGATTGCGGCGCAGCTTCTTGCCACTAGGCCACCAGAGCTCCCTAGAAGTATTACTTAGTATCCTGCATATTGCATAGTCTAAGAACAAGATGTCTCCTACCTGGTCTAGCCTGCCTACCAGAAGGTCATGTACAGGTCCTCCTGAAGGCAAAGGTTATATAAGCCTCAAATCTAAAGACTGTTATGTAAATAGCAGGCTGCCCTTTTCCCCTGCAACCATTCCAGGCAGAGCTGTGCCTTCCCAAACCTTCCAAACGGCACATCAAGGTCTCCCGAAATAGGCCTTTTTTGTGTGTCCTTCACACCTTGACCACAGTCCCAGTTTTTGTCTCTTCACCCTTCTTCCTCTCCTTTGTTCTCTTCTAAGTTCCTCACCCTAAACCTTCTCTTTTTCTGTCTCTTCATGAGAACCCTCCCAAAATGATAGACCTCTCTATGCAGGCTCCTTTGGGATCCAACTTCTTAGCTGGGAAAAGAGAAGGAGGTGGAAAGGGGATATACCCTCCACAGCAGTCCTAGGCCCCAGGTCCTAGACTGGAGAGCCGGAAAGGAATTGGGAGATTGAGGACATGGTCCAACTCATCACTTTACAGAGGAAGTGCCAAGGCACAGAGAGAGGGGATAGCTCATCCAAGTCACTGAGCAAGGGCCAGCACCCAGCCCCACGCTCCCTAAAACAGACCTCCATTCTTTCCACACTCCTAGTCCTTCTTCTCCCCACCTCAAATCCACCATATCCCCATTCTACTCTCTTCTCTTCAAATTCTTCCTCTGTAATTTCTCTGGACCCCTCCCAGAGAGCACCCCTTTTCATGGTCTACTCTGGGTAGAGTTGTGCCTCTCTGTGTGTGTGTGTGTGTGTGTGTGTGAGAGAGAGAGAGAGAGAGAGAGAGAATTACATTGAGAAAGGGGGCAAGATAATGCTGGGGTCTCACTTCTGCAGGCCATGCCCATCTCTGCCTCCCCCAGTGATCTTACCAGAATATTTTCTCTGGCCAGTTTTGTTCTCTGTTGCTCTGGAATTACAGTTTCTGCTGAGCTCCCTCCTCACAAGGTCACTCAGGTTTTGGATGCTAGGCAGAGCCCAAGCCTAGAGTGCAGGATGGCTGAAGGGGGAGCAACAGCCTCCAAATTGTGCCTCCAACTTGCTTCTCCCTAGGTCATCATCAACCCCAACTATGAGGTTGCAGAATCTGACTACATCAACAACATCATGAAGTGTAGAGCCCGCTATGATGGCCACCGCATCTGGATGTATAACTGCCACATAGGTAAGGTCCTTTCTTTAGCTGAGTTGTGTCCACCCCTCCTTGGGCTCACCTCACCCATCTCCAGAGCCCACCTTCCAGGAAGCAAGCGAGAGCTGCCCTACTTTGTCAAGGAAACAGAAGCAGCTTCGTAATTTGTGCTGTTTGAGAAATGGAGCCAGTGTCTCATTTCCATGCTGAGGAAAAAAGCAATAGACACAGCAACCGAGTTTTCAGTGAGCTCTGGCCAAGGGTGGCACCTGGTACTGAACCAAGGTGGTCCAGGACAAGAACAAAGCCATTTAAGAGCTCAAACTGAGGAGCTCAAACTGAGGCCACCAACTCCTTGGGTTTATGACCTCAAAATTATGGGTGCCAGCAATTGGTGGGCTCCATCTCTCAGGTTTTCCTGTGTCAAGAATTAGAGGCCAACAAATCACATTACTTCCATGCTCCAGTAAAGGAGTTTTTTTTCTCAGATTATTTGACTCAGTGAACAAAAGAGAAGAATGAACTTTTTCTTCCTATAGGAAAAGTGATTGGACATAATGCTTGATGAAAAATTAAGGGCACTGTATTTATTTATTCATTCACTCAACTTTTACAGAACATCTGGTAATCACTGAGACCTAGAGAGCAGAGACCTCTAGCCTGGGTTAAGGACCTCATATATTGTATCAAACTTTTTTCTGTCTTCCACACCTCAGGTGGTTCCTACAGTGAAGAAACGGAAAAGAAGTTTGAGCAATTCAGTGGACTCCTAACTAACCAGCTCTCCACGAGGTAGAGGAATATCGGTGGCCACCAGGTCTCTAGGTCACGCTGCATCTTCCCCTGGACTTTTCCCAACAACCACCATCCGACCGACAATCACTGCACCTCCCCCTTGCTCACCAAGCCCCCAACCCCACGCCGCCTCGACCCCCTGTGATCATGTCCAAGATGAGGAGAAGGGGATGCTCCTGCCCTTGACTGGGGCTGCTGCCTGATGTCCAGAGATCAGGACGGCGCTGTGGGACTGTCCACAGGTACAAAGAGCCAGCCTGGCCCAGGACCTTCAGCCACTGACCCTGGTTGTCATCCGCAAGTCCCCTCCAAACCACAGTCCTCCTGAGTCTGACACCACCATCTCACCAGAGATAGAAACGTCTACAGCACCATTTTCCCCAAGTTCTGTTTTGGCAAATGTGAGCTACCAACCCCAATGGTGGTCAGGCTGAAGCCTACATCTCCCCCTCACAGGTCTTTTCCAGCAAACTTGAATATCTCAACCTCTCTTCCAATTAAACTGTCTCTCTTCTAGTTTATTGTATCCATATAAATATATATATAAATGTTGCTTTTCAACATTCCAAATCCAAATCCATATGATATTGGATTAGGAGAGTCCAGCCTTGGTGCTTCCCCCATGCCCTTATTTTTAAAATAAGATATCTTTATTATATTTGCAGACTTTGAACCACGAAGTAATTTAGTGGCATTTAATATAGGGCATGTGGGCCTTTGGCAGTGTGGTTCAGAAGAAAAACCACTGCACCTGTGTTAAGTGCCTCATCTTCCTGTTGTTCCAGTTCTGTGGGTAACAGATTCAGCGGTGCTATAACCAGGGTCAGGGTGACAAAGACACCAAATGCCATGTGTCATCACAGACACTTACACATACTTGAAACCTCAAATAAAAGATTTATGATACGCATCTTGTGTCTCATTCAAACCACTGTACATAGGCCCTGAGCCGCAGGGTTGCTGTGTTTAATCAGCAATCGTCCAGCTTATGATCCCGTTCATGAATTTACGGTTTGTACCTTGCAGAGAGCTGGGGCTCCTAAGTCCCCTAGAGTCCAGTTTGGCCATCAAATTATAAACAAGCCTATGGCTTTGCAGCCAGTTCTGAACCACAGCAATTCCGTGCATTACAGAGAACCACCCCACTGTCGTATTTGCTGTACTCTACAGCAGATCTGCAGGCTTGCTTCCAGGGTGGTACTGGGTGGGTTTTGTTGTTGTATGTGTTCCAACTCCTAGTAACCTTGAATGAGAATGAACTGCACCATAGGGATTCTTGGGTTGTAACCTTTATGGAAGGAAGCAGGTTACCAGGTCTTTTCTCTCAAGAACAAACTGCAGTCTAAGGAGACCATCTCTCTCTCTCACACACACACACACACACACACACACACACACACACACACACACTCTCTCTCTCTCTCTCTCTCTCTCTCTCTCTCTCGTAGTAACTTTTCTTCAATTGTTGTGGGGAAAGGTTAGTTTAGTGTACCCCCATGCTTCCTAGGAACTTTGGAGGAGAGAAATTAAATCCAGATGGAACACACTGAACTCTGACCTAGACCAGAGAGTTACTGTTCCCAAGAAGGCTAAGACAAAGGCCACATTACCACTCACAAAGAGTATGGACATCTCAGCAGGCATTTTCCTGACAACAGCTGTATTAGGGCCAGATGGAACATACGCATTAAAATAATCTGGGGTTCCCTAAACAGGCACCAAGGAAGGGCTCTCAGAAGGGAGGGTGTAGTAACACAAAACGTGCAGGTCAGCAGCAGGAAAGGTGAAAGGTCCAGAAGCAGCTACTCTTCTCCACTGACTCCCCCACTTAGGTCCAGAACATGTGAGAGCCATGCAAATAGGAGGGGCCTAAGATGACCTCAAAGTGTTAATCAGAGCCACCTTAGCACCCAAACCAGAGAGATGAGTGCACTGTCACTCTGTACCCAAAAAGATGTAAGTAATCAAATTCACACATCTCAGACTTCACTATTTGGCACTCTATGTTTCTTTCTGCAGGAAGCCCTTTTCCAGGGGGCTGGCAGGTTACACTAGAACTAGCCTAGAGGACTGGGGCCATTAGCTCACAGATACTGCACAGCCAAGTTGTTGGAAGAGACTGAGATGTCACCGAAGAGGTGCAACCTACACCCAAAAACCAGAGCAGGTTCAGTGCAAAAAGAACGCCTCCTAGGCCCAGCTGAGATCCTCCAGGCCAGTCAGGCTCCTAACTCACTCACTACTGTGGGGTCAGCTCCAACTCAGAGACCTTCCACCAGCCAAGATATGCAGCCTCTGGGCTGGCTGTGCGCAACTCCCTCATACCAGAACTCCCCTCTCCAGCTTACAGAGTGAGCTAGGTCTTCAGCAGCCCCAGGTCAAAGTAAATCAGACAGCTCCCCCTAGTGTCTTAGGACAAATCATTACATTTTGAAGCAACCATATTATAACAACTTTGAACTTTTTATTCTCAACTTCTAGAATTAGCCCAAATTAAATTACAACACACCCCACAGTGAGGGTCCAACATGCACTCAGCGTGTCTGTAAAGGCTTTTGGTGTTGGGCACCACGTTACTGCCTGAGGCCTGCATCCAGCTTTTGGGCCTCAGTGCCTTAGGGCAGGGGATTCTCAAACCCTGGCCGCTCTTTCTTTTTGTGTTGGAGCCCCAGGGCCCGGGCCACCAGCCTCCGGGCCACAGCTGTATTTGTCTGCGGTCTCTCTTTCGACAGTTGCAGGAGCTCTAAAAGGAAAGCATCATAGGGCCAGGATATTAATTCAAGGTTGTGGTTGCCAGAGCAGTTTAAACTCAACCCTAATGCTGTAGGTGACAGAGTGAGACCTGGCTGTGCCCAGTGTGGGACCAGCTACTACGAGAAGGGCCACATAGGGCTGTGGGACCAGCTACTACGAGAGGGGCCACACAGGGCTGTGGGACCAGCTACTACAAAAGGGACCGTTCAGGGCTGTGGGGCCCAGTACTATGAGAGGGGCAGCTTGGGGCTGTGAGGCCCGGTACTATAAGAGGGGCAGCTCGGGGCTGTGGGGCCAGGTACTAGGAGAGGGGCAGCTCGGGGCTGTGGGGCCAGGTACTAGGAGAGGGGCAGCTCGGGGCTGT